AGTAATCTCATTGAAGAAATTATGTAGCAGCTTCAGGCCGGAGCGATTACGGTAAGCCTCGTTGAGCTCGACGGTGGCGGCAGATGACGTCATATTCTGAAGACGGCGGGGCAGAAGGAGGGCCTGCTTCTGCTTACGGGGGAACACCTAAGGAATATTCGCCGTAAAACTTTCATTAACATCGGCTCCCTGTGCGACGAAAAGTTCGATGATGTGCGCCATGGGCAAAGTGTCTCTTTTTTGGCCACCCCTGTATGTATTGTGGACAGGGTGCAATGTACTAACAAATCCACAAGCCGCAGTAGCTTAGCTGAAACGATTCGGGAGTTCTGACAGCAAAAACCCAACTCCCTCTGAATTCGAACTTCCTGAGTCGTTGGCGGAATACGAGAGGGGCTTTGCGCTGGGAACCGGCACCAACTAATACCAGCGTCAGTGATGAAGATAGTCTCAATGGCGGCATACATGGGCCGTCCTGTTGTGTGTGGCGTACTCTTTCGCGCTTCTCCCTCCTACAGCCCTGTCTCTTTTCGTCGCACCACTATTCACCTCACAAGAGAGAATGGTGCTTCCTGTGGTTGTTTCTGCTTTTTTCTCCACTAATTTTTCTCTCGCAGTTCTTGTCTGATCTTTGAACAAACACCATTTGATCGTCATCCATGCCCTTAAGCTCCTGAATAGCTTGATAACCACGCTGTACCAAGGAATGAAGGCTACTCTACAGAATAGTTTCATAAGTTTTCTCTTATTTCAGCAAATGATTTTTCAAGAGAAAGTTTCTTCACTAAACTACACCAATTTGAACTACTGTAATTAATAATGAGGCAGGTTGAATATAGTGGCGTGCTTGCTTCTCAACCCATTGACGACAGCCCGTTTTGTGTGCTTCTCGGCACCTTTTTTCTACTTTTCGCGCTTTTTTTTCAGGATTTCAAGATTTACCCTTCCTACTAATGGGTATTATGTTTTCTGGATCCAATGATGTAGACGGGCAACTTTCCAACATTAGAACTGAAACGTAAATCAGGCAGAATCTTGCCCATTGCCCATGAACCATATGCGGATAACGCGCATGTGTGTCACGCCGTCGTCAACCGTTGAGTAATGGCCCATCTCATTCCCTATTTGTATCCAAGATTGCGGGTGTCTTTTTCTTGAGTTCGACTGATGACATTTCGAAGGGGAAAATTTAGCATATTCATTCGCCACTTGAACGTTTGAATTATCAGAATAATATGATGCATATTGAAATATGTGCAGTTCATTGACTGCTTACAGAACACCTGAATACGACCCGAGCGACATGTGACCCGCACTGTTGGCAACGCGCACGTCCCATTAGATGACGCGCTAAATTGTCAGCCAATAGCGCGTTACAAGTGAAATAAACACACAGCACAAAATAACACCAGATAGCACTACAGAAAACGACATCCGTGGATCATCGGATCGATGGACGTTGAACCAGCCTCAGGTAACATCAGAAGGCAATTCGTATGCCAAAAGTCTGACATGCTGAGGTGACGCTTGTGTAGCTGAAAACCATCAAATAGACACTCATCAACAGCTGGTAAAAATACACACAGCATTCTACCACACGCGAATCACGATCTACTCCTCTATGCGACTATCAATTGAGCGTTCAGAGTTGGCGATCGTGCGTGCATTTGATTTTTGCGATGATTTAAAAAAGAGTGTAAGGATTTGATCAGGCGATTAGGCGAGTAGACGAGTAAGCGAATAGGCGACGAGAAAACCGATTCGTTTGCCTCACCCACTGGGCGATCGCCTGATCGCCTACTCGCCTAATCGCACGTACGATCGCCAACTCTGAACGTTCCGTAAGGTTCCGGGTTCGTGAAGTGCTGACTCGTCCATAAAGACTGTCCCTACTTTACTCCTACTTGTGCTGCCCAAATTCCTCAAATTCCCATAGAACGACTGAATTTCCCCTAACGTGGAACAGTTGCTTGTCAACCCAATAAACAGGACATAATCCTCACAGGAACTTCCGAATGCTCCAACTATTGTAATCACCTAATTTCTGGTTTGACCATTTGAGGGGGGGTGGGGGTCCGCGACACTAGAATATAAACTATCCAATTTTTTCAATTCGCGCAGCGGCGAACTTTTCGCTGCAGGTCTCAGTCACTCCCGAATCAGCCGAACCTGGTGTTCCCACAGCGGAAGAGTCGCTTTCTATCCTGGCGACCCACCATCCCCACATTCGGATATAGGTGGTCTCGCCAAGATCTTCCTTACAAAACGAACAGGACAGAAGCTAACGAAGCTGTGCTACGTCTACGGCAAGGCTAATCGATCGGTGTTGAAAATGGTGTCACAATTTTTTTGCAAAATATCAACAAGCCGTTATGATTTGCTCTCACATTCGGCTTTCTCACCTTTGACAAAGGGCGTAAAAAACTATATAGCCATCAAAGCATAAGTACAGTCGATATCCGAAAGTTGGGGTGGGTGTCACCGGAAGTGACGTGCACTTGATAGAAGTGCGTGGATAAGCTGTTGCCAGCATGCTTTGCTGATAGCCAGCGATGTATGTTGGAAGCAGCTTATCCACATAGTTTCTATCAAGTGCACGTCACTTCCGGTGACACGCCCACCCCAACTCACCGATATCGAGTATATATAGCCTATGCTGTATGCTATCGAAATCCCCCCCTCCCCATTCCCTCCCTCCTACCCATCATAAAGGCGCCCCCCTTTAAAATCAGAAGGAACATGGAACAAAGCCAAATCGCGTCCCGATTTATTTTGGAAAGTGAAACTAAAGACTCAGTGTGAAGTGAGAGCCAAAGTATATGGACAGGAACACTTCTAAGCAGTAACCCCGATGACTGAAAGGCAGTGCGCTCGGATCGCGTCGTTGAACGTACTGATGGATTGGACCCTCCGCCGCTAGAGCATTGTTGGGCGTACCCTAACGCGCTTCCCACCATTGGCGTTCAACTGACTCATCAAAGCGCCCACCCTTTCTAGCCCGCACCCTTCCCTTAGGTTCTAGTATTCTAGTGATTTATCATCACCTTCAACTTTAATTTTCTTCTCCTGCAAAAATGTCAGAGAATGAAGTCGCCTTAATTGGGGGGAGAGGGATCGAACAAACCAGTCAGAACAGACCCATTCAATTCTCGACGAGCTATCGGCTAACTAGTCAGACAGATCGATTATCGAATCCACTTACTTGAAAGCGTGATAGTGATTGGAGTGGTTGCTGGTAGTCCTTAATCAAGTAATAGCAGAAACTGCTGTGAACCAATATTAGCAGGAGCAGCAACCACATCACTCGCATAGACCGATTGCAAACATGCCAGTGGCAGAATGCGGCGGAGACGTTCTGCAACAGTGTGCTCATCTACCTGCAGACGGTGTTCGGCAGGTGTTCCAACGCCGAGTACGTTGAAATCGAGCAGCAGACGATACGTCCATTCGACAGTGAAGAATGTGGCAGCATTCGATGGGAAGGCCCTGAAAGAGAAAAAGCTAATTCTACAAACGAGTTTCGTAAAATGGGGTATCGATTCCTAGCCTAGTTTATTCTCTCAAATAAAAATTGGTATAGTTGATAGGCCTATCAATTCAATGGGGCGCTAAAGGAACTGTTTAGCACTTCTTGAAAATGCGTTCACATGGATTGTGCGGACACCGCTTTTGAACGGTCCTCCTCTAACGCGAACCTCGGAAGGCGGCCTGTCAAATGAGAAGACTGGCAATCTCCACCCATGTGGGGCGCAACTAACGCCTGTTCAAGTTCCCGTTGTAGTCTGCGCTTTATACTGTGACAACCAATACTACCCTGCCTCATCTTTCAGGTGCAATAAGCAACACTGATGTGCCGCGGACTATCCTTTAGGACGTAATAATGACATCCGATGAAATCAGTCGTGATTCTCTTCTCTTGGTATGTTTTCCATGCCCCAGAAACCCTCACAAGTTATGTTGTCCCAACTCAGGCGAAAAAAAAAACTCAACAATGAGGATCTCTGAACATGGGTAGCATCAGAAGAATAACTGGCCCACGCCCCCCCCCCCGTAACGCCTTCTTGTACCTGTTCGGATGTGCGATCCTTTTACCTGTCACTTCCGCGCTAGAAAAGAGCAACTCAGCGAAGTTATGTAAGTGGAACCCCTACGGTTTGGATCTCAGAATATAAGAACTGTCGGAAATTTCCTACCGTAATAAAGTGGAGCCGAGACCAGTGAAGAAGACCCGATATCCGCCTTCTGCATACGTACTCCGTATGCAATCCATGTAGCTAGGATAATATGTGGTTTGAAATCTGGTCTTTATGACATCCGTTGGATAGTTGAATAACCACGACAGCATCCCGGCGCCACCTGTAACAATAATTACTATATGAAATCTCTAAGGTGATAAGTAATCATCTCACAAAAATAAGTTGATAGCTCGCCAACAAAAGAACTGTAGCAAAACTGCCTATGAACGCGGATAAGCTTCTGGCGATTTTATGAAAAAGGAAAAGCTCTCACCTCCGGCTAAGAGCAGCTGAGGACCAGTCAGTGACTCCATTTTACCGTCTTTGCTCATCTTTCGCGACATGTACTCGTATGAGGCAAAATAGATACCAAAGGCAGGGCAGTCACGGAGCAAAGTCGCCAGGAATCCTCTGGAAATTTTTCGATGAATTTCAATTTCACACTTCAATAACAGATCACCGTAGATTTCTATATTTCGATAGGGACGGATAAATATGGCTTTTTGGCTGGAAAGAGGTATGTATTTCCGAAAAGGAGCTCTCCACAACTATCGGCCACCATCAGAAGCGAAGAGGGTGCTTGCGCGATTTGCTTGTGCACTTTTCTATGCGAGCACAATTGTTTTAAATAGATTGGCCACATATAGGGATTTTAGTACTGTTCATAGTGACAGGGAAAGACGCGGGTAACGGGTGGCACATGACCCGAGTATCAAATACTGGATTAATACCAGCTGTAAACAACCAAGTCATCCTTCCCAATCGGTACATTCTCCAATTAGAAACGTGGAGGCCATTTGAGAGCCTACCAAATTGATTTTGGGAGTCAGAAGGTTTGAGATTTAGTTTCATTCTGCCGAAGGAGCCTGACACCAAACCAAGCCAGGATTTGCCTTTTGACTGTGGTTTGACCGTGGTAAGTGGCGGCATTTCTTAACAGACCACCCCGCCCAGCGATTCATAAAATCAAATAAGTTCCAACACTGTCGTAATTTGAGGGGAAGACGAACGCGCGGCACATCCCAAAGATGAGTGAATCGATCGAACACGCTCACGCGACACGAGGAACAATGGTCTTAGCTCCGTCTCC